ATAAAAAATATATATATTGTTTCAGATATCGTTGACCAACCAGCAAATAAAACAATTGCAAAACATTCGTAACTATTAATCCAATTATAGTGTTGTATGAAAGGGATTTACTTGCATGTTCTAAAATATATTTTTAATGTAATTTATGCTGCATATTACGAGTATGTGGTCCCATCATAAAATGGGCCACCCCTATCTCTCCCATCGGTGTCGTAAGAGGCGACTAAGAGAAATTAATGGTCGAGGGACGGGCAGCAGCGTCCCTCTTATAATATCACCAAAAGCTAACTGCGTTTTTTTTAATAGATGATAATGGAATGGTAACCCCACTTGCGCTATCAGTATAAACTGGCGGGGCACCAGTGAGAGATGATAGGTGAGGATGAAGCAGGATATATTGTTTGCAATGGGGCTACTAATCCCCATTACTAACAATCCCTTCTCCCCCCAGCTAACTGCAGTTGCCAACCCACCTGCCAAGTGTGACAATTGGCCCAACACCCCTATAGGGAGAGGCCTATGTTCAACAGTGAACAATTAACGGTTGATATAACAATAATAATAAAAATTACGATTATATGTATACAGGCAACCCCATACAAGCAAACGCAGTGTAAGAAGACTCCCCCAATAGATGGAGCAAGGACTTTAAATGCACGGGGTCAATCGATGCACATGGCCCGGGACCGTTCCTTGTGCGATCTATGGGGGAGGCCTATGTTCACTAGTGGACAATTAACGGCAGATATGGTGATGACGATTACAAGTATAACAGCGTTCCATTTTACCGTCAAAGAGAAAATTAAACTAAAGAGAACTACATTTGATCACAAACATCTATTTGTTTAGATAACCTAAAATGCATTTGGTTTCTCCAAATATATTTTCATGTTTGTTTTCTATATAGGTATATATGTTCGGACAGTTGATTGGGTTGATTAGATTTGTATGTATGTTGGTATAAAGTCAACAACTCTTTATCGCCGACCATAAAATTGCCTGTTTAGTCTATGGAGCCTATTAAGGTCAGTTTAATAGAAAATTTAAGCAAATATTGCAATAAATAAGGATTATACGAGTATGTTTGCTCTAGATATTCAGATTATACTTCAGATAAGTATTTCATTCTTGCTTTATATTTATAAAAAGCGACTACATAAAGGAGATCACTTTGCTCGTATTTTTCGCATTTCACATATGTTACGCGATATCTAAGCTAATTTTAAATCGATTTTGATAATTAATTTACAACTGATACTGTTTAGTCCTTGTATTAGTCACATACTAATATTTTTTATTAATTTCTATTTATTAATGGCAGTATAAATAAATTTATAATACTTACATAGTTGTTAACTGTATGACGTCTAATTATAACTGCTGAAAAAATCGAAGTTATATGATAATGTTGTAGTGTTTCATTGCCATGGTTCTGACGTATTAAACACACAAAACCCCGTTTTATTATCAGAACATTAGAATTAACGATAACAACAAAGCCAGCTGAAATAATCCTTGCCGGCTTTTGTAAAAACCATATTACACTCAAGTTTAATCAGGTGCTTCGTAAATATAGATACAGGAGATAGTTTATTATTGAAGCAACCTCTTGTTATAAGGGGGGAAGGGATTATTAGTAATGCGAACTACCAGTCACATTGACAGCAATATACCCGGTCAGGTCGACCTCCACGTGGTCCCACCTGGAAACAATTGTGCTGAATTCCAGGTGCATTCCTTAAGATGGACTAACTGACCTGCTTTTACATTCTCACCTATCATCTCCCACAGAGTATACAGTTAGTGCAGGCGGTGTTACCATTCCATAATCATGCATTAAAAAACCTCTTGTTATATTATTTACTTATAATTTATATTTACAATAAGCAATCAGTTTTATATCGAAATATTCTAGCTAGTTTTTACCCGCGAGTTCATCCGCGTGACCGGGATAAGTGGATTAATCGAGATAAAATTAACCTATGTCCCTTTCTATTCCAAATGTCACACTACGTATGTAACAAATTTTATGACGATTGGATGAACCGCCAAAGTGTCACTAAATAACAGACAAACTGATTTTTACATTAATAAAATAATATTAATAATAGGATTAGGAAAATATGATAAAAAAAAATATAAAAAAAATATATATTTCGTAACAAAATGGATACAATAGTTAGATCGTTGTTGTGACCTTCTAGTAAGTGTTATCACCTGTATCAGAAGGTAACGCTCCTCCATAACCATGAAAATACAAATCATAGTACCATAAAATTAAGACATAAACATTATAAAGGAAGAACCAACGTATATGCATGAGACTAGTGAGTAAGGTGTATATAAGGATAGAATACTTTATACTTTAGAACACTATTCTCTCTGCTTATCCCGTAAAGGATTGGCATAAAGAAGATAAATAGATACTAAGGATATGTAATTAAAATACGCCTTCTGAAGCAATAGACACTTGTGGTTTGCGGCAGCAGCTGTGGTCTACCCACAGTGATCATTTTCACTTATTAGTTGTTGCTATATTATATTCAAATATATTAATATAATATATACCTAATACGTGTACTTCATTAAAATAATATATCGTTCATAAGGAGAAGAAAGTGATAGATTATATAAACGAGTGTGACGATTTAGGAAATGTAAGGTAATTTCTCCAATGATACCTTTCCACCATTTATAAGGCAATTATAATACAAAACTTTTACTGACGTAATTGGTTACAATTATTTGAAGTCAACACATAATATTTATATCCGCGTTTACATTTCAATTTTTCAAGAGTATAATGTTTCTTGCACGTGCTTCTTCATATCAGTTATTTAGGTACTATTTATCTGAAATCGCATCGACCGCATCAATTTAAATTATAATTCATATTATAAAAATTAAGAAAATTTGTATAATAACCTACCTAACCTAACCTTACATATTATATACATTAGGAATACTTACTTATTAATAATATAAAAGCATCCCAAAGTTCACCGGATCACATTAAATTCCTTTCGCATTACAGGCACCTGTGTGTATTTATAAATGCAACATTACTTGACGGACCTACTGCCCTTCACCCGAGTGTCCGAGTGCCGGCCACCAAGGGAAGGCCACACAGGATGGGCGAGGGTATAATTAGCTGCTCCTTTGATGAGCATGACGTAGAGAACTGCGTATCGTTTGGCATGGTTCGATGGTTGTGATCATTTGCTCATGCTGCGATAGGTCGTTCATTTATACAAATACCTACTGTACTTTTACCCAACTGCCGACGAAAGATTAGGTTTATTATATATATTTTATTTATTTATTTACGTACTAGGAAGATTTTGAAGGTCTAGTATTACTAGGTGTAGTAGTCTTATTAGGTCCGAGGTCTACTATATATAGTTATTATAGATGTATGTATAATGTGTAAAATCGAAATCATTAGCATCCTTGTAATGGTGTTTTCTATTTGTGATACTGAATATTTTCACTAAAGAAATAAATTGAAAAACGGCCAAAAATTTTGATCATCACGTATTAACATAGTGCGTCCAGTTGTTAATTTCTGTCCTAATATATTCTATAGTATAGATAGATCCAATAACTTCGATTTCACCTTGTACAATTATGTATAAATACGAATTTTGGGGCAATATATTGACAATATCTGGACATTGGGACAGTATACTACTATTCACATTTTATACGATTTTGCACTTACAGTGCAAAGAACCCATACTCGTAGATTGAATTCAGAATATATGGGCCAATGGACATTAATCATATCTATTTTACGCTCTAGTGCGTTGACGTTCATATGAATATTAACAAATCGAACTTAGTTTTCTATAAATTTTGATTTGCTACGAATAAAAGGTGCTTAAATCGTAGTAACATTATTATGGGATCAATATAGGAGTAAAAGTCATCGTTTGCAAAAAGAATCATCGAAACTGAATTTGGTGAAAATATCGCATAGTATACACATAACGAAATAGCTAAATTGAAAACCCCCATCTTTTAAAGTCTCTTAAAAATATAAAAATGAAATCAGTCTGATGTGTAAACTTTAATTACAGGAAAATATTTAGAGAACAATATAATTAACTAATTGCTGTCGCCGTTAAAGCAAGATAAGAGATATTATAGCAAATAAATGTCAACACCGTGATAGACATGGGTTGTTGGAGGGTGACAAGGGCCTACGTATAGTGCTCAGGTGGAGCGTTCAATTCGTTTACTCAATCAGTTCTTTCCACAGATTTTAGTTTAGCTCACGGGCATCAAACAATTACGTAGGTACGTCGTAAATAAAGATTGTTAATGAAGGGCAAAAAGGCCAAGGTAACTAATAAAAAACAAAGTTTTACACAAGCCAGCCACCGAGTTCAATTTTAGCAAAATTGACACGAGACCGACCTAAAAGTAAATCCTTCCAAAAAAACCCCTGAAAGTCTTAGTGAGACTTTATTGTAATAGTGAATTATATAACAGGAAATTCATCCGTACATACTAAAATCTAAATGGTCGCGTACAGTATGGTTTTAAAGGAGTTTTCACCCTCGAACGGTCAGGCTGTAAAATAAAGAGGGCGAATTTCGAGGTTATTACAATATGAGGTTATTCAAAAAGCCTGTATTAAGGTTTCTTCAGGGTCGGCAACGCGCACGTGACATCCCTAAGTGTTGCAGGCGTCCATAGAATGTAGTGGTTGTTTATCATCAGACGGGTTGTATGCTTGTTTACTTCTTTTGTGGTATAAAAAAAAATGTGTCACAGTGTTAATGGATAATCCAAACTTGTATTAAATATACTTTCAAATATTACTGACACAAAAAAGACTCAAAAGGCGAGTCTGCTTGCACTTCCTTATGTAACACGTGCATTAACAAATTGGGTTTCATATGTCGCAAGCAACACTTAGTTCTGTAGATTTTTTTATACGACTGATACGGTAAGACGTAAATTAACAGTACGAGTACATTTAAGTATTTACTCACGCAATGGCATCAATCATGTCCAGCCCCATCTCAACAGTGCACCGCGCGTGGTCAGACCTCGGCTCGGGTAAACCAGACACGCAGTAATAACAGTCGCCCAGAATTTTGATACGAAGACAGTGGTTATCCTGTGTACAAATAAATAAATATAATAACAATGCGTATGTAATTCCTAGTGCAATAGTCAGAAATTTATCTACAATTACAGTTGAAGTAAACTTTATACTCAATAACTAAACATACTTATGTATCGCTGACTATATTTTTTTTTAATATAACGTGGCTGAGGTAAGGTTATTTAGTTTGTAAATGGTATTTTTTAAAAATGGAAAGGAAAAATTGTTGATATCGAACTCCAAGTTCAAAGTCACGATTTTGCATCTATGAAGTCAGAGCAGTATATTATTAATCCACAAAACTGTTATAATACGCGTAAGTATAAATAAACTTGAATATGCAAAAATACGCATAAAGTATACCATAAATAAAGTATATTCCGTAATGGTACAGTTCATGACTATAAGTAACGGTTACCACTTTCCATAAGGTGGGCAGTCAGTTTGTTTGCCATTCCAAGTTGCATAAAAAAGTTCTAACTTATTTATCAGGGTATAGAACAAGTTTTGAAACGATGCTCAAAATACAACATGTATTTTTGTCGAGTTTGATACAGGATTTAGAAAGCATGTATAATTTTGGACGCTTAACCCAATAAACCCACGTCCAAACAGTCAATCACATAGAATTTCAAATTAATGCGAGGCAACGCGCCGGTCTGCATCGTCGTCGTCGATTTTGTCGGAATATGAGCCTACGCACGCACTTCGTTTATTTTAGTGATCTATTAACGCCTATTTTATAAGTATGGTGTTAAAGATTTGAAATATCGGCGATTATAGAAATATTTCTATGAATAAAGATATTTTGTTTCTATCCCTATAAACCCAGAAACTTATTAGGTTTAAAGACTCCTTACTAATATTATAAACGTGAAGGAGAATATGTTTGTTACTACTAATACTTGCAAGCCTACATCGCTTAAGGTATTTAAACAGGTGCCTAAATAGTACTACGTGGCTTTTGTTAATAATTTTAAGACTATTTAATGTAAATAAACTCATTTCATTTCATTCCTTAGCGTCTTAACGGCTAAACTAATTACTATGTAATTTGGTATACATGTACTGTATGGGATGGAAAATAATATAGACTATTTTCTGTATATCCCGATCGGTGAATATACCCCGGTCACGCAAATGAAGTCGCGGGTAAAAGCTAGTATTAATAATAAATATAAAAGTCGCCTATGTCTCATAGACATAATGATGGAAAGATTGAAATTATGATATACTACATGACTTAAAATGAAAAACCACAATGTTCCTTAGACTATGGAGAAATCAACAACCCTCCTAACGTAGAGTGCAAATTCCTAGACATGAACAGCTATGGGTATCAGATAACACACTGTGACGTATTTAAGTTGTAGTAATTTATTACTATATCTCAAAGCAAGGTTCAGTCACATAAGTTCAGTACACTAGTAGCAGAACAATTAAGCTAATTAGAGATATTCAAACTGATGGCTCTGTACATTTTTTTCTCTAGAAGAGAGATAAAGCACGATATTTAGCATTAAACCCGCCTTTTGTACCACGTTTTATAGGTTAATAAAGTTTAAATAAATAAATAATAATTCCATACTCACATTAGCAAGTTGATCAAACCGGCCGAAAAGTTCATTCAGCAACCTCACAAGCTCCTGCGCACTGCACTGTGATGCAAGCACCGTGAAGCCCACGATATCGGCGAATAATATACTGAAACAAAAAAATAACTTTAGATGTAGTGATAAAACCTAGCACAAAAAACTATCATACATTTCATTAACTGAAATCGAATTATGTACCGCCAATTATAATTTGTGGTAATAATAATATGTGGATGTTACCACTATAAAGTGGTAACATCGCATTTAATTTTGTGTAGAAATTTGGGTCAATACGATTATCGATTGATCAAAATAATAAATTACTCCATGTATAGACGGAATTTGTATACAGTTGTAAATATATCCCATTTAATATTATTAAAGACTACAATTGAATAGCGCAAATTATAATTTGAATTTTAAATATTCATATATATATTCTGAATTAATGAATATCTGAATATGTTTAATATTCCTTAAGATCTATTATTCGTTAAGATAGATCTTGGCGAATAATTTACATCTTCATTAAAACTAGTGACGCTGCGATATTCCTTATACTGGTTTACATAGAAACTACTAGAAAATCAGATTAAATCTAGACTCAATAACTAATGCCTATAACTATTTCATAAAATAATAATTTATTTGCGCTACCAATACGTACTAACTTTAGTTTGAAATAACGGATTCATTAAAAATGTAAGAGAAATAATTATTTAACATGTTTTACATATGAATTAAAATATTAGCTTATAACACACGGCATTGCCTGCGTAAATTACTAGAAAAAATTATTCACGTGTATAACAAGATATTGTCATACAAATTTTATTGCCTAACAAACATCTAAACTCAAACGTAAAACATAAAATGAATTTCATGTTTTAATTTAATCAGTGTCCAAACATATTTACAAACTTTCATATTTATAATTTAAGACGAAGGAAATTTGTATTTTAATGGAACCAGCTTTACAGCCGTAATAAACCAGGGAACTGAAATTGTAAAGATAAAAATCTAGATGTTTCTCAATTGGCGACGCGTGAACTTTGACTTTGGGGTTCACATAATCAGACGGTTTCATTGTTTACGCCGAACATTGTTCAGGGAATTCTTAGTGAAAAATAATCTCTCGACTGCCATTGTCGGCTTACAAAATTAATACTTTCGAAATTTTTTCGTCTTTTAGCATATTTAAAATTCTGTAGTAGAGAAAGTTGTGATTTGGACAGTTATAACTCCCACGTAATGGAGTCAATTTCGAGATCCAAATTATTTCAAAGTACCTTAAAATAGTCTTAGGTGATTTTGGTGTTATCTTCACTCATTATATAGTCGTAAGTGCCTCACTACAACTCTTGCGATTACTAATAAAATAGCCTCTTACAAGCAGAACCCCGTATACCCCGTAACCGCCATAAGAGGCTATTTTGTAAGTAATCAAACTTCCCACTTCAGATTAGTCAAGTAGTTCAACTCGGTCGAACAAGTGTTGCGGAAACTAAAACACATCACTGCATCCGAAATAAGGATACACAAAAAACCTTAGCTAATATAGCCAATATAATCAACAAGTACAAATGGCAATGGACACATTATGCAGCTCAAATAACCAATAACTAAAAAACTATCCTAGAGGGTCGAACCCGTACAGACAAACGCATTGAAGGACGATCCATCCATTAGATGAAGCTTTGACCTCGAATGTGTTACAGGTCAATGATAGGCAGTGGTAGGCAGTTTATAATAGAGACTTACGTTCAGCAATGGACAGCACTAAACTGAAATGATGAATGCGTATCAATTAATAATAATGACTTATATCAAATACATAGATTCTTATATATATATATATATATATATATATATATATATATATATATATATATATGTATATATATATATATATATATATATATATATATATAAATCTAATTATTATACAGAGTAAAGATATGATTTTTGTTTATAATGGATAAACTCAAAAATTACCTAACCCATTTTTTAAATAGTTGCACCTATAGAAAGCTAGAATATTAGCTATATTTTATTTAAAAAAAAAATCTACTTATCTACCCGTGCAAAACCGGGACGGGTCGCCAGTAATCAATCTCGCGTAAGTTCCCTCTCAATACAAATTCCACAGAACGTATGAAATCAATGTAATGTCAAAGTGATATTATCTAACATCAATGTTTAGATAAAATCATTTTGACATTATACAAGTGCCTACATACCTACCGGTGTATACCGGATGCCGGATACTCATGCATGAATAATTCATCTAATAACATGATCAAAAGCTAATTACAAGGCATTGGTGTTATTAAGTGGGCCGACGGAGTAGGATTTGAAATCGCGAGACTAAAGCTCCTGGTCGATACATCTTTTATATAATATAATATTTACAGAATAATCAAAAGTTAATCTATTGTAAACTATGCTCATCTTTCCGTTAACTAAGAAGAAAGAAGAATCATAATATTTTTTTCTTTTTTTTATGCAACTTAGAATGGTAAACAAGCTGACGGCGCATCTAATGGAAAGTGGTAACAGTACCATGGGCATAACTCTGTCGCCCATGATGACAGCGCATCTAATGAAAACCGATAACTGTCGCTTGTACTCATGAAAAGCATCATGGACATCATAGAATACTTATACTAATATTTTATAATATACTACTAATTATTGCTTTTGTTTAATTAATTTAATATACATATTTTGTATGACTAACAAATACAGAACATCTTACTACGATAATAAAGTGACAAAATCACTGCGAGGGGATGAAACAAAATAGAAAATATTTTATTATTGGTCACAAATACAAAAAAAAAAAAAAATAAATAAAAATCTATTCTAAATAAAAATTACCAAAATCCCTGTACACAAGGGGTGGCCAAATAAAAAGATAAACTGTGGTTAAAGTTAACTAGTCAACCGCAAAGGTGATATATATACATAGATACATAGGTACCCAAACACAAGATTTATAATTAAAACTTGTAACCCTAAAAAAACAACCTCAATCATATCAAAACCGGTTATTTTAATTTAAAAAATAAACTACTGAATCGAATTCGATAAAATTTTTATCTATGGGATCAATTTTACAAATCAGTTTACAACTGACGGAGTTATGAGGTAACAAATATAAAAAAATACTAATGAATTGGGAAACTCCTCCTTTTTAAAGTCGGTTGAAAACAAAGATGGCCATTTCAAATATACACACTTTCCATACAATTTTATAACATTATAAAACTTTTTACATTTGCGTAGATGTCTTTACATTTAAGTACATAATTAACAGGTTCTTGCCACGAATGTATTGTAATTATATTTATGTATATTGAACTTTATAAAACCCGTGATGTTGTTATTAATGTATGACTTTAATAATGACCTTAATAACAGATCATATTATCTGTAGTAATAAAGTATATAATCATTAAAACATCATGACCTAATGAATCATTACCCTGACTCAAAAAGACTAAGTAGCGGCGACGTACAATCAGAACTAAACTCATCAGTGACGGAAAACACCGTTAATCTAACTAATCTGTGAGCTAGTAGTGACAGTAAGCTCGCCACCCTTCTACGTGGATGGGATTGAAAATTGTCGGTAAATAAATATTGACACTCTTGTACCTTACTTGCAACTCGCCCCGGCTTTGAATAGATAGAAGATATCTAATTAAAAGAAATTAAACATAGCCCATGATACTCGCTGATAAATGTATGTAGCTTTCTATATGTGCAAGAATTATTAAAATCGGTTAGGTATTTTTTGAGTTTATCCATTACAAACAAACAAACAATCAAACCTTTCCTTTTTTGTAATATTCTTAATTAGATACTCTATATATATTATAATTTTAGACTTAGTTATTTTAAATAACTTTCTTCACTACATAGATTAGATACATGGTACACGAAAGTGAACGTAGGCTTAATGCTAAATAGCATTTAATCCTAAAAGAAAAATATATAACGGAACTCTATAAACTCTGTGGTGTTTAAATTTCCATATGTAATAATGAGTCTCGTAACAGTAATATTGAAATGTGGACAAATTAACGTGATATGAATATTACTAACTTATAAATCAAGATAATTTTACAATTTTACATGGTACATATACGTTTTATTTAGGATGAAGAACAACGGTTACATTAGGCCTTAATAAAAATTACCATGGTATATAATAATGTCTGTCAACCCTATATACATTTATGATAGTCGAGTAATGGCAACAGCAGCAGTGGAAAGCTGAGAGGGGACTTCCAGACAATCCTATCAGCTGAATATCCGTTTAGCCTAAAAGGATCAAGTGCGGTAATAGACTTCCTGTCGTCTGATGTCATTCCTTTTGCGGGCAGCTTGCGTAATGGTACGTAGACGTGTCTAGAATGTACTTATACAGTTTTATACATTATATATATAGTTCATCTTTAATGCCTATATTAATCGTATTAAAATCCATTACAGTTTGATAACTAGAATACTATTAGATCAATGACGTAAAGATAATATAATATTTTTATCGCTATACACAAACCCTAATTGTTCTTTTAATTTTCTTCAATTAGTCACGAATGGTTACTCGTGAGATGAGAAAAACAAAGGAATAGAAATTGGTTCAGATAAAAAAATTGCAATAGGATAATAAATTCGACAAGCGATTGTTTGGATAGAAAATAAATTAATATCAATGAAACAAAGATCTGCATATTTAAATAATTGCAGCACATTGTTATTTGTTCATTTTAAAATTTATACTGACATGTAGAAGAAAATATTCTACTACAACGCTATCTACATTCTACTTGTTGCCCACTCAGGTAACAAAAATATTAATTTTTTAAAATTTACTAAAAGAGTTTTCATCCTATTCATTCAAGGTAAGAATTTTAATACATACTTTCTTTCAAAGTAATAGAAAAAATACGTAAAAGTGAACAATTTTCATGAATCTAGAAGCAGTAGTAGTTTCGACTCGATGATATTAGGATATGACATCTTTTATATCTATAGATACATTAAGAGAATGCTTACAGGATATTACCACAGATAATATATACTATACTAGTGCTATTA